AATGAGAAAAGAAACATATATATATAAAGCATAATTAAATGTTCAATATGAATTTACAATTTAAGTGGTGCAACTCGACCGACTGAAATTTAATGAAGGGTCAATTTTGTAAAAACACTGCTGTAGCTTGTAAAGTGTGGCGGGCACCTCCGTCAGTGCCATTCGAATTTCAAAAAGGTTAAAGATTCGCAAAGATCCAAGAGCTGGGAAATCGGGGTAAAAAAAGTAGCCGCTTTTAAAATATTAATAGACTATTATACCCTCTCTCCCACATCGCTTTTACTCCACTACTTTACCAAACCACACCGAACCAAACAGAAAACCCAGCGAGGTCAAAAAGGTAAATGCAAAAGTGAAGCAGCTCACTTGAACTCGGTCTTTAACCATTAACAAGGGTGGTTTAGGAGTTTTAGAAAGTATAAAGGGCATTTAAGACGTTTCAGGGGGCCCTAATTATCCTGGGATAAGAGATGATTGTCGGTTAGTTTTGTCTTTAATCCAATTTCAAGGTTTATTTATTAGTGGCCATGCGGCCCACAGGAGGGGGACTGCGACTAACAGGAGACACGACTCACGAGGGAAATGTAGGAGACCGCTCTCCGCATACGTACCCACCAAAAGACCCACCACACCACACCAATGCCCATGAATTATTGAAGAATACGTTTCTACGTTGGAATTTAAAAATAAATAAATAAATTCTGTGGTACGGTCCACGTCACATGGATGACATATATATATATATATATATAAGTTTGTTGATTTGGGTGTCCTTTTTTTTTACAAGATGGGCTAAAGGCCCAAAGAAAGCACAATTTACTACAAAGGCTACAAGCCCAATCTTCTTGGGCCAGCTTTGTTGGGAAGTCATGACCCTAGCCTAGCCCAATGCTCCCCTTTTTATGGATAACAGATAAAGACCAATCCGATTGGAATTCATTTGTATTGGAGAGATGCTATAATGATGCGTTATGATGATGGGTTATGATGAGGAGGACTTAATAGTTCGACCAATGAAAATTATATTATTGAACGGCTAATCAACACACCACCTAAACCTAAAAAGTATAGTCACGGCTATACTTTTTAATATATTCGAATATTTACGGCTATAACCTTTAAATATATACGAACATTTAAAGAGTATAGTTGTGCGGCTATACTCTTTAAATATATTTGAATATTTAAATTAGTATAGTTGCGTGGTTATACGCCTTAAATATATTCAAATATATATATATATATGAATATTTTAAATTCTATGAAATTATTTAAGATAATTAAATATAATTAATTACTATTTATAAAGTAACTTATGAAATTAATTAAAATATTTAAATACTAATTATTCACTAAATAATTACATCATCTCCATCATATGTCTATTTTGATTGCATACAAACCAATTTGGAATGTGAAAATGCCCCCTTTCTCTTTTTTCATTTGTTTAGGAAGAAACGGGGCTAACATCCAACAAAGAACTTAAACAATGGCTCGAGGCCTACAGACTCCAAGTAAATCTTCACTAAGAAAAGACCTAATACTATCAGGAGGATCATGAAAGGTTGACAGACCCAACTCAAGACATGAACCCAATTCAGCTAATCTATCTGCCACCATATTGCACTCACAATATACATGATGGATATTGCCCCCTTTCTCTTTACTAAATTTTATTTATTTTTTCATTTTCCTAAATTTGAGATAAATACAACACAAAGAAGAAAAAAAAACCTTTAGCTTTTGTTGCCTCTTTAACAAGTGGTTTGTTGTCGGAATCCCTACAAAATTTCGACAGGAAAGATCTATACAGTCAAAATTCGTAGGGATAGAAAAAGTTCATCGAGGTATTTCTATCCAGGCAAAATTCGCTGAGACATGTCTACGTTAGATCCTGTTACGTCATACTAACCCAAGATTGAGATCGAAACCTTAATCGTAAAGCCCTAGGTTGAGTTACGTGATTATCAAACGCTAATAGAGTCCTAAGTTCCCTACAGTAGGTTTACGGTTAGGATTCGAGGCTCTCGAACGATTTTGCAACAAGTTATGATAAGTTCAAAAGCTATGGTTTTTGGTTCGAGACTTGGATTTAGGGTTTGGAGGCTAAAATCCATTTTTGGAATATTAAAATAATTTTATAGGATATGTAAATAATTGAAACTATTTTTAAAATAAATTTAAATTTAACAAAATTATTTAAGATGAAATATAATTAATTATCATTTATTAAGTAACTCATAAAATTAATTAAAATATATAAATACTAATTATTCACTAAATAAATCATAATTAAAATATAATTACTACTTAAATTTAAAGTAATTAAATAAGAGTAATATGTTACTTGATTACAAATATTAAACTAAACAAACTAATTTGTATTAAAACTTTTTTTTTAAAGTCCACAAAATAATCTAAAATATTAACTACTATTTATCAACCAATTTAGGAAAATTATAATATTTAAATACTAATTATTCACTAAATAATTGCATCTCTCCATCCTACATCTAGTTTGATTGCATACAGAACAATTTGGAATGTGAAAAGCATATTCAAATATATTAAAGACTATAGTATAATATTTTAAAAGAATAGCTGCACAGCTATACTCCTTAATATATTTGAATATTTGAATATTTAAATATTTTAAGAGATCAATATGAGAATCTGAGATCGTCTCTTAGAGAGAGGATAGCATATGTACATAGTACAATATATAAAATCTCGTTCCTTTCATTTCCATCCTGTAATCAACCAAAAATAATTCCGATTCTTTTTTCTAGTAAAGGCAGCATGGTGATCGTCTCTTAGGTAATGGCATTAAGTTATGTCCTTTAGAGAGATCAAAGTTTTAGTGCTCGTTTGGTATCCTATTTGGATCCAATTTTAAAAACTCAGAAACAAATTTAGCCCAAAAACCTATTTGGTAGGCTCATTTTTAAAAACCTAAACCAAAAAAAAAAAAAAAACACCCCTATTAAAAATAAAATAAAAGAGTGAGGTTTTATAGTTTTTTTTTCTCTCCCTCTCTTCCCTCTATCGCACCCTCTCTCTCTCTCCTCCCTCTATCATCGCGCTCTCTCTCTCCTCCTTCTGTCGTCTATCTCTCTCTCTTGCGCACCACCAAAATTGATAGGGTTTATGCCTCACATCTTTTTCCTTTTCTTTTGTTAATTTCAATTTGGGGATTAGGGTTTTTGATTTTAATTTAATTTTGTTTAGATCTTAAAAATAGTTTAGAGTTCAATGCCAAACAAGGTTTTAGATCTTAAAATCACTATTTGAAAACTCATGTTTTAAAAAATAATCATAGCTTTTTAGTTTACTTTTATGACTATGATACCAAACAGGGCCTTATTCTTTCTTTATTTTTATTTTTATATAGACGACAAAAGTTTAATAGACATCTTATATGCACTTTTCAATTTGATTCTGTTTAATTAAGTTTTTTCAAAGACAAAAGAGAATTAATATATGGGGGTTTCACTAAAACACCCAAAATGGGGGCTGAAATTATAAAAAAACCCAACACCCAAAACACTTTATAAACACACCCAAAACCCATCATTACACACACTCAAAACCCATTTATAAACACACCCAAAAAATATACAATTGTTGATTTTGGGGTTGATTTTGGGTGTGTTTCTATGTTTAAATAGTGTGTGAGTTTTTTTATAAATACATGCCTAGGATTGGGTTTATTTATAATAATCTATTAATGTATTCTCAATCTATAATCTCATGTCATAAACCTCTTATAGACGTCAAAGTAATTCTTTATTTCCTTACTGACTCGTCTTATTTAGGTTTATTTATAATAATCTATTAATGCATTCTCAATCTATAATCTCATGTCATAAACCTCTTATAGACGTCAAAGTAATTCTTTATTTCCTTACTGACTCGTCTTATTTTAGTGAGTTTCTATACTTCCACAAATGTTTTACATTAGCATATTTTCATCAAATACCTTACAAAGGCATGTGTTATACATTTGTACTATATAGAGAGATTAAACGAAGCATGATGAGGGGAAAAAAAAAGCCCAATCGCAGTGGTCGCTTGAAAATTTTTCTTGAATAATTAATATGATCCGAGAAAAAAAGAAGAGATGGACAAGTTGTGATTATTCAAATTGATAATGAAAACCAAAATACATAATTTGTACTAAACTGATTTATTTTGCATGTGACATGCTTAATTACAGAAAAAGAAAAATGAAACAACTATAAATTTTGCAACAGCTGGTGTTGGGTGTGATCATTGGCGGAACTAGCAACAGGGCTACCATAGGCTCAAGCCCAAGTAGCCTTTAAAAGAAAAAATTTAAATATACTACATGTATTTTACTATCATTTACTCAAAAAAAAGCTTAATAGTCCACCCAAATGTAGTCTAATAACCCATTATCCACTCAACTTTCTAGGCCTATAATCATCTTATATATATTTAATTTGTTTCTTGAGTTAGAAACATAATCCCTTAATAAACACTCATGACTTTAACTGTCTACCATTTATTAGTTTCGCCCAATGTTTCTTTAGCTTGTCGTCAATATTCATGTTAATGGTCATCATATCACAATTTACAATTAACTAGCATAGTTTATATGATTTAATGTATAATTTTATTTTTAGAGAAACTATAGAAACTGTAAGTGCAAAAAGTAATATAGATTTTAAGCTAATAACTTTAGCTAGCCCACATGTTGAAAAATTAATGTTCCTCGTGATGGATAAATGATTTCTGGGTTTGGATTCACAAGTTCCCACCTGAAAATTCCATTACAACAAAATTCAGTAAAGTTTTATATTAAATTTATAAATAAACAAAATTCAAGTACTACGCCATACAGTCCGCATATAATGGATTGTGTAGAAAAATGGGCAACAAAAAAAAAATTTTAAAAAATAAAATAAAATTAGAAAAAAGGGCCTAGGCGGCCTGGTTTTTATATTAAAGTTTCTACCGCTTTCTGTTTTAGGATTCGAGATAGTCTTTTTGGTTCCATAACCTCCATGGTTATGCAGCTCCTGTGGGATGATTCAACCCGTTATACGCATGTTTTTATTTTATTTTAATAATAATTGTTTTCCCCTGACTTCAAAGAAAACACGCTGCCTCCTCTGAGTCGTCGCCTCCTCACGAGTCATGACAGTCCACCACCACCGGGTCTCCACCTACTACCACCACCAGGCCCCGACCCGCGACCTGCGTAAAGAATTTGGGTCGTCCTCTTCTGCCGAAACAAATGCATTTTCTGAAGACATATTCGCAAGAGTGCCCCGTAAAGAATCTGGTTTGAATGTGAGTTGTTATTCCAAATTAAATGAATGTGTAGACTTGGGATTTTAGCCTCCAGTTTTATTTGTCTATGACTATGACATCGTGTCTTTCCTGCTTGTTACTCGTGTATATCAGCTATATCAGAAACAAGAGAGGAAAGCTGTGATGATGGTGAAGAAGCAGAAGACATATTCTCTCTTGGATGACGATGATGGCAATAGATCTTCTGCCCAGGTTGTTTCTGAGTCCAGGAAAGCTGATTTCATAAGAAACGATTCAGGAAGAAGGTCTTGACTTTTGAGTCAAGAAGATGAAGATGATGAGGTTAATTCTTTTAACTTTTGAAAGGTAATATTCTGTATCTGTTTCTCATGGTAACTGTTGTTTTAACTGAGTGCAATGATGCAGGTGATTGCACAAGAGGAAGAAGAGAGATGAGTTAAAAGACAAATCTCCCCACACGACGATGATGGTTCAGAGGTTTCTTTTATTGATATCATGCAAAGATGTATGCATTGAAACTGCAGCTGTATTATCTATTCATGCTAGAATATTATTTTTGTGTAGTAAAATGGGCAACAAAAATAAAAAATAAAAAATAAATAGAAAAAAGCGCCTAGGCGGCCTGGTTTTTTTTTATTAAGTTTCTTCGGCTTTCTGTTGTAGGATTCGAGATAGTCTTTTTGGTTCCATAACGTCCATGGTTATGTAGCTCCTATGGGATGATTCAACCCATGATACGTATTTTTTTTTTATTTTTTAATAATAATTGTTTTCCCCTGACTTCAAAGAAAACACGCTGCCTCCTCTGAGTCGTCGCCTCCTTCTCAAGAGTCATGACAGTCCACCACCACCAGGTCTCCACCTACTACCACGACCAGGCCCCGACCCGCGACCCGCATAAAGAATTTGGGTGGTCCTCTTCTGCCGAAACAAGTGCATTTTCTGAAGACATATTCGCAAGAGTGCCCCGTAAAGAATCTGGTTTGAATGTGAGTTGTTATTCCAAATTAAATGAATGTGTAGACTTGGGATTTTAGCCTCCAGTTTTATTTGTCTATGACTATGACATCGTGTCTTTCCTGCTTGTTACTCGTTTATATCAGCTATATCAGAAACAAGAGAGGATAGCTGTGATGTCGTTGAAGAAGCAGAAGACATATTCTCTCTTGGATGACGATGATGGCAATAGATCTTCTGCCCAGGTTGTTTCTGAGTCCAAGAAAGCTGATTCCATAAGAAACGATTCATGAAGAAGGTCTTGACTTTTGAGTCAAGAAGATGAAGATGATGAGTTTAGTTCTTTTAACTTTTGAAAGGTAATATTCTGTATCTGTTTCTCATGGTAACTGTTGTTTTAACTGAGTGCAATGATGCAGGTGATTGCACAAGAGGAAGAAGAGAGATGAGTGCAATGTTTGCATTCGTTTTTCCTAATATTTCTCTACCTGTTTTGAACATGTCCTCTATTTAAAATGGTATGCAGTCAGAAGTAGAAAGATTGCGTGATCAAAGAGAGGGAGCAATTGGAGCAGAATATAAGGGAACGGGATACAACAGCTACACTAAAGGTACATATTTAGTTCAGAACTGATTTTCATTTCCTACTTTTAGTTTTCGGTATAAAAACTGCTTGGATTGTCTTCCTGCTTCGAGCTAGTTCTAGTTGTTTAAAAGTTGCATCCTTAAATGATTTATTGATATCTTGCAAAGATGTATGCATTGAAACTGCAGCTGTATTATCTATTCATCCTAGAATATTATTATCCGGGTCTAGTCCTTGATATGGAGATTATCCAGTTTTACCTACAAACTACTGTTACGGTGTTTCCTAGCTACAAACTCTTAGATTGAGCTATGACTTCTCATATTCGTCTCTGATTTGGAGCAACTACCTACATGTGCATAATCATGACATTGCTTTTGTTGTTTTCTTGTCACTAACTTCCTTTTTTTCCCCTCCCTCCCAACAGTTAGCACGAAAGGAAGAAGGTACTACAACTTGAGAGTAATTACATCCAGACACATATATTTCGAGAATTACAAACTTAAGACTTGTTGCATTTGCTCATATTCGTGTTTATAATTTGTGTTGCCTCATCATGATACATTGTAGTGTACAACAGATGAGGCAATTCGGAGAAGCAATGCATTGGAGCGGATTGAATTAATTTATTATGAAGTTCTGTATTTTTCTGGTATCGTTCTTATAGGTGAAATTCTATTTTTTGGCCGGCAATTGAAAACTTCAAATAGTTAAAAGATTAGGCAATCTGTTGTTGAAAGTTTTTTACCAATAACCATTGTTGGAAGTTCTAGGCAATCTGTTGGTATGAGTGCTCTCTTCTTGATTATTTTCTAGGTCCATCTTTCCGTTTGTGATCTATCAATTCCAGATTCTTTCTTATATGCAGCAATAAGAATAATCCTCTTTGGTGTCTTAGGGCAATAACATAAAGACAATGATATACACTCCCTGCTTAGAATGTTTATGGAGCTAGGCTTCAGAACTTGGGGTTCCGGTGTAAGCTTATTGATGTTCAAATTTTGATGATAGACTTACTTATCTCCATCAGACCTGAAGAGAATAAATGGAGTAACTTCTTTAATTATTATTTACTTAGTGAATAATCAGTACATAAATATTTTATTAAAGAAATTTTTTTAAAAATTAATTACTATTTATTAAGTAATATAATTTATGGACTTAATTAAAATATTTAATAATAATTATTCACTAAATAAATAATAATTAAAGCGTAATTACTAATGAAATTAATTAATTAAGGCTAACAAATTATTTAATTATATTTAAATATATTTAAAGAGCATAGCCGCACGGCTATACACTATAAGTACAAGATTTTAAACGTATAGCCGGCCGGCTATACTTTGTAAATGGAATTTTTTAAACGTATAGCCGGACGGCTATACCCTTTAACTAGATTATATTAAACGTAAAGCCAGGCGGCTATACTCTTAAAATGGAATAATTTTAGGTCTCGTTTGGTATACACTAGTACAGCGTTTGGTGTCTGTTTGATTGGACCAGGACTATTTATTTTTTATTTCGTAAAAAAAAAAAGGATTATTTTTTTAATATTTGTTTTTTGACTTTTCTTCTCTCTCTCCATCTCTTTCCTCGTTTTTCCTCTCTGCTTCACTTTCTTCTTCTTCCCATCTGCATCTTCTTCTTCTCCTTCTCCATTTTCTATCTACTTTTCTTTTCTTTTTTTTTTTCGAAAATTGTCTCTCCTCTTCCCAGTTTTTTTCAAAAATTTCATCTCCTCTTCTCAGTTTTTTTCAAAATTTTATCTCCTTTTCTTCTCCATTTTCTCTCCACCCATCTTTTTATGCCCTAAAATTCGTCCCATCTCAAAAGAGAGAGAGAGGTTGGGCATTGGGGAGTGGCATGGGGGTTGGGCTGGGCATAGGGTTGGATTCTGAAACTTCAAAACAGGTTATTGCCGGAGTTAATTGAGTTATTTCCTGACTTTGGATTTTGCAGCAGACTTTGAGAGAGAGAGAGAGAGAGAGAGAGAGCATCTGCCATTTATGAGGGTGGGAGGTTATGGCCACGACGAGGGGTGAGAGGTGATGGCTGCGACGAGGGGTGTGGTGGGGTGGGAGGTGTTGGCTGCGACTAGGTGAGGAGCGAGAAGGAAGTCGTGAGCGATAAGAAGAGGAGGGGATTATCTAGTCCCCCCTTCACACACGGGACTCAGGAAGCACACCTAAGGAGGTGTTCTTGATGGGCCCATAATTGTTAATTCCATTTAACACTAGAACCATGTCACAACAAACATGAGATTAAAAGTTAGTGTAAGCCAGTCCAAGCCTAGAAGGTGTACCAAATAAGCCCTTAAGGTATAGCGAGTGGCTATACCCTTTAAATAGCAAAATCTGTTTTTTTTCTTTTTAAATTACTTTAATTAGTTGTTATGTTTTAATTATTACTTACTTAGTGAATAATTAGTATTTAAATATATTATTAAATTAAAAAGTTAAAAAAATGAATTCCTATTTATTAAGTAATATAATTTATGGACTTAATTAAATTTTTAATAGTAATTATTCACTAAATAAATAATATTTAAACCGTAATTACTAATAAAATTAATTAAATAAGGCTGAGATATTATTTAATTATAATTAAATATATTTAAGGAGTATAGCCGCACGGCTATACACTATAAATCCAAGATTTTAACAGTATAGCCGTCCGGCTATACACTGTAAATGGAATTTTTTAAACGTATAGTAAATGGAATATTTTAAAGGTATAGCCGACGGCTATACCCTTTAACAAGATTATATTAAACGTAAAGCCAGGCGGCTATAGTCTTTAATTGAATAATTTTAAGGTATAGCGCCCGGCTATACCCTTTAAATAGCAAAATCTGTTTTTTTATTTTTAAATTAATTTAATTAGTTGTTATGTTTTAATTATTACTTACTTAGTGAATAATTAGTATTTAAATATTTATTAAATTAAAAAATTAAAAAAATTAATTACAATTTATTAAGTATTGTAATTAAAGGAGTTAATTAAACATTTTAATATTAATTATTCACTAAACAAATAATATTTAAAACGTAATTACTAATGAAATTAATTAAATAAGACTAAGATATTATTTAATTGTATTTAAATATATTTAAAGAGTAGTGCCGCACGATTATACACTATAAATACAAGATTTCAAAAATATAATCTAAGCTATACTCTGTAAATGGAATTTTTTAAACGTATAGCAACACGGCTAAACCCTTCAAATGGAATATTTTAAAGGTATAGCCGCCCGACTATATTCTTTAAATGGAATAATTTAAACATATAGCCGTGTGGCTATACTCTTTAAATCGAATATTTTTAAAGTATAGCTACGCGACAATACCCTATAAATAGCAAAATCTGTAATTTGCTTTTTTCAATTACTTTAAGTAGTTGTTATGTTTTAATTATTACTTGCCTTCAACCGTGCTTGGTGACAAATATATTCCTTACATATGATTCGGCCACTTTTGTTACTCTCAATCGTGAAGAGTAATGTCACTAAACCAAATAATCACGGCCAAAAAGCACCTTGATACCTAATTTTGGTTAAAAGTTTGTGAAAGTACCATCAATTTTTTAAACCTGTATTATACTTCGCATAAGGAAAAGAAATGACAAAGCCTTCTCAAACCCACCCACCCCCACCTTGGAGCTTTCTTAGCCAAGAAGCTTAATAGAACAAAAACAAAAAGAAAAAAAAGAAAAAAGAAAAAAAAGAAAAAAGAAAAAAAAAAGAAAGAAAAAGAAAATAAAAATTGGGGTGATTCCGTGACTTTCAGCAAAATAATAAGTGGAGAAGTAAACACGGTTACTGATAAAAAAGAAAAAAGACGGAACGTGCCAATGAGTTTTCTTCTCCGCGTCAAATTAAGAACCGGTGCGAGGTGCGACCAGTCCCCAAACCCAAAACCCAAACTCTTTGACCGGCTGTCACCGGTAAAACCGGTTCCCAGCTTTACAAATTAGATTCCTGCGGCATTTTCTTTTTCCTTACCTTTCCTATTTTCAGTTTTCAAACCACATTACCACCTCCACCTTCACCTCCGTTTCGTCTTATTTTCTCAAAAGCTTCAAAGAGAAAAAATCAAATACTAATAGAAGAAGCACGTCGCGTATTTCTTCTGATCCGGAGACCGATTCAACTCGTCCTCAACCCGGCCTCTAGGGTTTTTGTATGCACTGATTTCTCAAATCGGGTACGCCATCTTTCATGCATTTGCTTTACTTTAGTTACTTTATCTATCTGTTTGGTTGCCGAGAAAACAACCGGGGAGAACAAAAAGGAGTTTAACTCGGGGATCTTATTGTTCTTTGCTGCTTTGAGGTTTGGATGAATGAGCTGTAGCTCTGTTAGTTTGAATTTGAGTTTCTTTTCAATTTTCCAAGTTTCCTTATTAGGATTTAACATTTTGTTAGATTTTATTTGTTTCCCTTTTGTTTTTCTCAGTAACCAAACAGTACTCGGGAGTGTGTTTTTTTTAGTTATCTTATGTATTAACAAAAGTAGTGGTTGTCTGAGTTTCCTGTAAATGGCTATGAGATTCTGTAATATGCTGCTTTTTCAGATGTCCCACCTAGGATGTTGTGCCTGTAGGATTTTTATGGGAACATTGGAATATTATGGGGGGAATCAATCCGTTTCTAAGAATTTATTTCCATTTAAGTTTGGCCATCTATAATGTTTTGGTATAGGGGGCGACAGTGATTCGGACCTTTTACATCTCTATACAATATTATTATGCACGTGTTTGAAAAGTTGTATCTCATTGGTCATCGAATTTCCTGTTGAGAGACCTCAATGTATCAGTTAGACAGCATAAGATGGCTTCATTTAAAAATTTTCCTCTGCTGCCCTGCCTTGTCTTCCTCTGCTGTGATATTCTTTTTGTGGTAGTTACTCTTAGTCTGTACACATCAGCATTTGAATTGTCTTGAAAATTTATTTTCTCTTTTGTAGAAAAATGTCTCGAGTTGAGGAGCGATGGGAGCATTTAGTCCGTGCAGTATTAAGCAGGGAAAGGATGGGGACTGATGCATATGGGCGGCATTCTACTGGCATTGCTGGAAACGTCCCATCTTCACTTGCAAATAATAGGGATATTGATGAAATTTTGAGAGCTGCAGATGAAATCCAAGATGAAGATCCCAATATCTCTAGAATATGTATGTTTCTCATTCTTATTTACTGTTTTTTGCCCAGTATTACTTTTATCTTCTTTGGGTTTTTTCAGTGTTCATATAACCTTTTTATATTTTATTATTATCGTTTAGTTGAGTCTCTCCATGCTAATTGCTTTTCTAGAGTGTAGCAGATTATTGAAATTTACAAACCTTTGTGTACTTCCTTTTGTGCAAGTGCCTTGTACATGCCAATAGCAAATCATTTAGTGCAACTGGCTTCGTAGAAGAAATGCTATTGTAGTTCAATATTTTTCAG